TTTTCTTTAGTTTTTCTACAATTGCTACTAGAGTAAACACCATTCATGGAACTAAATTCTAAATATCCTAAACGCTTTTTTGTTGTTCATACGTAAATCTCTCTTTCTGTTAGATCTTATAAAGCAGTTTGCAGTGGTACGTAGCCTACTAAATTTCAAATACTCAAATTACTGTAATTGAGTAGTTTTCCTCAGAAATTGTAATTAACTAAGTAGTTTCAAAATTTTGCACTTTTATTTTCCCTTGAGTACATGTTTAGTGCTGTATAGGTACTTTTACTCCACTATATTCCTTCACCTTGCAGTCACTACTTTATTTTTTCTTGTCTATGCGGGATTAGACAAATCAGCTCCTGAGATTCCTGTCCAAGCAAATTACACATAGAAGATTAATTGCATCATAATGAACTACCTTAATACATTGGCACTTTATAATTGCAGCAAACTGTTTGGAAACATTAAGTGTCCAAGAAGATGTCTAAAATCTTTACACACATTTACCTAGAGACTGTTTTGATGCATGTCAATGATGAGAAGATGACAAATGTTTACTGTATGATGACCGAAATGGCCTTAAACATCCAGCAGACACAAGATGTCAACATGCATCAGATTTATGTTGTACCCCAACGTCATGGAGACATTCAATTATGTTTGTACATAAAAATCATGTTGACATCAGAATCCAACGTCAGGCCGAAATTAATGTCAAACCTAAAATCATCTAAATTTCAGTGTTTAATGATGTTACTGCTTGACGTTGTGTGGACGTTACCACTATGACGCCTATCAGATGTTTGATTTTGGTTTTCAAGGAATTAATGTCAGTATTTGATGTCAATATGACGTTGGTTTAAGATGTTGCCTCGACGGTCACTTTCTAACACACCCTAAAATATCAACGTAATTTCACGTCATTATTGGGCATCAAAATAACATTGTCCTTAGATGCTGACTGGACCAGTGGCGTAGCGGACGGGCCCGCAGGGCACGCACCGCGGGGGGGCCCCGCGTAATTAGGGGGCCCCGCGTCGTCGCGATTTTCAATAAACTGTTGGGAACAACTGTGGTCGGAACCAAAGTTCACACGTCTGTGTTCTCTGAACACCTCTCAAGCGGTGGACTACTTCATTCTGATTGTTTGCCGCGACTTTTCAGACCCCCCTAGCGACAAATCTAGCGACTTTTTTGTGTGTTATTGGAGATTTTTTTAGACTGTCATTTGTCCATACTGTACCGTCCCTACTCTTCTCAACGAGCTGCGTGTGATGCCGCCGGCCCCTCCCCCGCCTCACAGCACTGACAGGCGGCCCAGTCAGTCCTCTACAGCAGCCTCTCCCACCTGCAGCCCGAGAGCAGATCACCCCTCTGCGTACCGACGACAAATGATTTAGCACAGGCAGTGTGAAGGTACAGTATTTCCCTTGTACAGTCAAACCGATCTACTTCTACTTTATTTTAACAATTTAATTGGACCGTTTATTATTTTCTTGTTCACAATCACAGATATTTTAGTGACAGTTTCTGAACTTGTCTGAGTTTATTTCATATGAGAGATTACTGCACATTCACTAACGTTACACATCTATAATGATATACTGTATTCAAACAGCAATAAATTTAGTTAAATAAACATGCTTATAGAAAGTGTAGTGCAATTATAAATACCCCTTTATTAACCATAGGCTGTTAAACAGAAACGGTAGAACGTGATGACGTCAGTGATATGCAAATTGACGTATGACGTACCCAACCCCCCCCCCCCCCTCATCAGGGGGCCCCGTCAGCGATCCCTGCAGGGGGGCCTCCGCATTTTGCGCTACGCCACTGGACTGGACATTGAATTTTGGTCACCTGAAATCAAAACTAAATCTAACCTAAAACTAACGTCTAATGACATTGAACCTGATGGGCAATAACTAAATCCACTACAGAATGTTACGTTTACACACATCCACATATTACATGTAAATGCATCCGCCTTTTCCAGCGTAATACTCACTACTCTTGAGTACTTATGAAAGGGCTGCTTTTTACTCATGAGTAATATTTACAACAGGCACTTTTACTCTTCTTGCACTACATTTTTTGGCAAGTAACTACTTAAACGTAAGTATGATTTTTCATTGATCATTCCAACACTGGCAGTTTGGCACATTCTGCAAAGATAATGTACTGTTTTTGTATATCTAAACACATTCACAAAAACAGTTTTGCGTTGTTATGCTATTGTGTTGCAAAATCTTGTTTCTGTTTATGTGATGAAACGTGCAAAGAGCCCATTCTTTACCAACTGTATAGAAAATATGAAGCCTCATTTTTTTTTTTTAACTGACCAATGGGAGATAATCAGACAGCAAGGAGAAAGAAAAAGGTGTCATCAAGGCTAATTTGTCAGACCAGAGTGTTTTTCCATGGTTAGTCATGAGGATGAAGTCCTCAAATTGAGCCCAGCATAAAGATATACAGTGGACACTAGCAGTTGTTTTCATCATACTGATGTAATGTCTACTGAATGAGCTATAGAGCAATTTACTTTGATTTTCAGTATAGCCGAAATGGTTTTAAACCAATATTATTGGAAAAAGAAAATAAATCTGGGTTTCTGTGAATGTTTTATGGGGTTTCTTCAGGTTTCACTGTCAAATGTAAGACTTTTTAAGACCATTCTGAATAAAATTTCAGATGTATACATGGCTTTTTACTTGTCCCATTAAAAAATTTTTAATTATTTGAATAATACTGAAATGATGTGTCAAAACACGCATCCATACATACATTTTTTTTTTTTTTACTTTTCTTTGACAAGCTTTAAAAACTAAATTAAATGTACAGCGGTCTGTCCAGGTCAGTGTCCTCACCACACATGGTCTATAAATCCATGGAGAACTTACAAATGTTATTGTGAGGACCCATATTGTTAATTATAGTTGTTCAAAGTTTTAATGAGATGTATTGTTGGTGACTGTCTGTGTATACAGTTGTTGGCCGGATTGGGGAAGCTTTACAAGAATACTGGAAAATTAAGATCCATTTAAAATGATTTAAGACATGCAAGTCAATATTTCAGCAAATCTTTGACTTTTTAAAGCCTAAAATTGTTTTTTAAAATTTAAAACTTTACTTGTAGAAAATCACATATTTCTTTTTCATATATCTTATTTTTTCATAATATACAGCTAACATGAAAACGACTGTCATATTTCCTAATTACTCTAAAAAGCCCGCCCTCAAGAGGCTCTGATTGGTGTGATAACATAAGCGGATCTACCCTAATGCACACTTTTGCCCCGAAACAGTCAGTCGAGTAGCTGTTAGCAGCGTTAGTTAACTAAGACAGAAAAGAAGAGCACACAGTTCATGCCTTTACCTCTTAAATTAAATCTGACTAGTGTCTTTCACATATATTCGGAATAAGCATGTGTAAGTAACATGAAACGTTCACATATCTTTAGCGAGTATTTGAGATGTAGAATGCACAGAAAGCAGCCGCATAAAGAGACACTGCAGTGCTGGTGAAGATTGTGGCTGTTTCCAGCGGTTTGACTGATAAATATGAATTTGCAGCTGAATTGTTAGCGGTGCCGAACAGCATTTCCCCTTATTAACATCATTGTTTCCGCCCTCGCAACAACATACCATTAATGCTAGAAACTGTGCATGTAGTTGATGAATTTTAACAAATAAAAATACTTACAGGTCGTGGCTCACAATCCACAGCTTCAATGGTTGTAGTTTTAGCCGAATCCAGCACTGAACTGATTCTGGAAGCTCTCCTTTATAAAATGCTAGCGCTATATCTTTTTTTTTTTTAACAATTCTCTGGAACATATTTAAAATTAAACTGTGAGCACTTCTCTCTGTGTGTCGTGTCATTTAGAAGCCCAGACACACAGAAAGAGTGCTGTGAAAATAGCAGCGTTTGGACGGCATTTTAGCTTTCTCTGCTTTAACATTAAACACTTCTGGCCACGCCCCTTCGCTGCGCAAGGTGTGTGTGCGAGGTAAATACACGTAACCAGAGACCCTTATAATCTCACAAGCCGGGATGTTTTTTTTGTAGTCCCCAAACTCTGTTCTCTGTAGGCTTTGATAAGCTAACTCTGTAAAAGCCAATGTCTCTCTTTGCATTGAACTTATATTACATATTAAATGCAGAGATGTTGTTTATGTTCACACAGCTACATTACACATCAACTAAAGTTGAAAAAATTGTATCGTAATGGACCACCCCTTTAAGACCCCGCAGACACCCTGCTTTTAAAAAAATGTGACGATATTATGATATGTGATTAAGCAATTCAGAAAAACTGTAAAAAAAAAAAAAGAAAAGAAAAAAAGGAAAAAAAATTAACAGTTTTTGACAGTTTTCTTTTTTATTATCCAGTCATCTACGCCTCGTCAAACACTTATCAAAAGCCTCAAGAAATGTGTTGGTGCTGAAAATCAAGACCTGTACATTTCTTAAACAGTTCAATCCCAGGTCAATAATTTCATACACATTCCAAAAAACACTAATCAAAATAGGCATTCAAATACCTGCAAGTCCTGCAGAGCATCTCTCCCTCTTTCACATATGCACATGCACACACACAAGCAGACACACACACACAAATAGCTTTTGGAAATAACCACGCCTGATATCAGATCAACAGTTTAAGTTAACAATTCTGTCAAGAAAAGAAGAATTCAAGAAAAACACAACTCAAGCATTCCCTAAAGTGACATCACATACATAAACACAGCATAAACGCAAAACAAATATGAACATATCAAGAAAATATGGTACCATATATGGATAAAAAAAGGTCCCAACTTTTGCACCATTAGGTAAATAAGAGATGTAGAACATTTGAGCTTCATGAGGTGCCAAGTTCCGACTGTCTAATAAAAATAACGGGGGGGGGGGGGGGTTATATATATATATATATATATATATATATATATATATATATATATATATAATATTTTAGGGATATACCCAATCATTTTTGCATTTATTGCATCCCATTTAAACATTAAAGATATTTTTTATGCATAAAAAGGTCAAATTTACCGAGATGTATACCACCTAAAAATATTAATACTGAAAAACTTTCTTATCTATAACAATATAATGAAGGTATTAGACAACTTAACTTAATGTAGAACCAAAACTATTGTTTAGTAAAGATGTAAAAATGAGAACACTAGAATCCATTCCAACAGCTTCCAAACTTCATTAAAGCGATCGCCCACCCAAAAATGTACTCACCATTTACTCCCTTGTTTCAAACTTTATGAGTTTCTTTTTACTGTTGAACACCAAAGAAGATATTTTGAAGAATGCTGGAAACCGGTAACCATTGATTTTCATAGTAGGAAAAGCAAACACTATGAAAGTCAATGGTTACCGGTTTGCAGCTTACTTCAAAAGATCTTATTTAGTGTTTAAAAGAGGAATAAAATTCAAACAGGTCTGGTGATTTTCATTTTTGGGTGAACTATCCCTTCAATTAAGAATATCAGAAGAAACACATGATAAAATTTTATCCTATCTAAGATTTGATTAGTCTAGCTGCCACTATTGGATCTGAAAATGGCATTTGATCTTAGCTTAATCCTGGATGGCATTCATGGGAAAATCAGGTGTCAACGTACAACTCAACGTACATCTCAGTGGTACATTTTGATGTTCAAGCGGCAGAAACAAACAAACACAAAAGAAATCAGAGTTCAGTTTTAGGCTGATTAAGAGGAACTTTCTTCTGGATCTCTTCTTCATCCGAGGTGAATCCTGCAGCTTCCGTTCTCCGCTTGCTAGACTCGCTGTCAGAAATCTTGGACTTTTTCTTCTTTTTCTTTACCTTCTTCTCCTTTTTCTGCCCATCCTCACCATCTTTACCCTTCTTCTTTTTGCCTTTCTTTTTCTTCTTGTCCTCTGCGATGGCTGCCATGTCTCCTTTTTTCCCAGCCCATGTCTCCTTAAGACAGCCTGCAGCAGAGAGAGAGAGAGAATGTGAATGTGTTTGTGTTCGATCTCTGAGCCGCTCTGTTATTAGCAACAAGTGATCAAATCAGAGCTTTGTGTTCGGGAAGTGATGTCTTTTTCTGGCAGATCTATTTTGGTTGCTATAGCGATGGCACAGGAGCCAGCACAATGGCAAATTAATCTTCTTAACAGGAAGAAACCAACTCATGATATGAAGACAGACAGCGAATCATTTGTATCTTACAACATAACACCAGTGGTTTCACACTGGATTAAAAATTTGCAGTACTAGGGTTAAAAATGGAATAAAAGCACTGGATTTATACACTCACTGACCACTTTATTAGGTACACTTTACTAGTACCAGGTTGGATCCACTTTGGCCTTTAGAACTGCCTTAATCCATCATGGCATAGATTCCACAAGGTACTGGAAATATTCCTCAAAGATTTTGGTCCATGTTGACATGATAGCATCACACAGTTGCTGCAGATTTGTCAGCTGCACATCCATGATGCGAATCTTCCGTTCCACCACAACCCAAAGGTGCTCTACTGGATTGAGGATCTGGTGACTGTGGAGGCCGTTTGAGTAAAGCCGAAACCAGTATGAGCAGATTTGACATGTTGTGCGTTAAGAGATGCTCTTCTGCAGACCTCGGTTGTAACGAGTGCTTATTTGAGCTTGAACCAGTCCGGCCATTCTCTTCTGACCTCTGTCATCAACAAGGCATTTGCGCCCACATTTTTCGGCCAATTTTCTGTAAACCCTAGAGATGGTTGTGCATAAAAATCCCATTAGATCAGCAGTTTCAGAAATACTCAGACCATTCCGTCTGGCACCAATAACCATGCCATTTCCAAGTCATTTAAATGTTTGCCATTCTGATGCTCGGTTTGAATTTCAGTAGATCGTTTTGCCCATGTCTGCATGCCTAAATGCATCGAGTTGCTGCCATGAGATTGGCTGATAAGATATTTGCATTAACGAGCAGTTGGACAGGTGTACCTAATAAAGTGGCCGGCGAGTGTATAATATGCAGTATAAAATATATATTATAAATATGGGGTCTTTAGGCTTATAGGAACAGAGTGTTTGGTTTAGGGGTGTGCAGTATATTTGGTCTATGATAATATCGCGATTGTTGTTTTAGCAATGTTAGAGCTAACATTATCATGCGAGTCACTCACTTTGCAAAAAAGCAAACAAAAACAGTAAGTGCTTTCGAGAGTCTAAAAGTGTTCACTGTTGATGAAGCCTAATAAAGTATATTATAACTTATCAAAGCAAAACATTTCCGGCTATAATTAGTAATATTATACAAAAAAGAGAGATTGTTTCCTGAATATCAACATGAAAATAAACGTATTATTAACCTTATTCTTCATGTACGAGCAGGCGCAGCCACTGCAATCTTTTTGGCTGAAGACTTCTGGTCGTATTTACTTCCATTGATTTTTAGATGTTAAAAACAGCTTGTTCTGCTGCTTGTTGTTGGAAACTGATCTTTTCGTATTATATTATTCTACTTTTTATGCATACTCATAAACACACTTGTTTGTAGAGTAGTAGTTTTCAAGTAGTTTGACCATTTTCTGCCGTTTATAAACCATAGGCAACAGAATTGAAGAATAAGGTCAATACAACTCTCCTAGACTTAAACAGTTGAATTTTAGCTTAGCATAAATCACTGTTATGGTCTAATACATTAGCATATCACAAAACAAAAAAACTACACCTCTAGTTACATCGTGTACTAAGACAAATGAAACATGAAAAGTGGGTATTTTCTAGGTTAATATGGCTAGGAAATATATGCTATATTTTGGCGTAATAATCAAGGAACTTTGCTGCTGTACCATGGCTGCAGCAGGAGCAATGATATTACGCAGCACTGTTACATAATTACTTAGCTGGGGAATATCTTCAGAGAATGCATAATATAAGCAGCAACATACCGCAACAAAGATCCTTGATTACTATCCCAGAACGAGAGTACACTGTAGTTCCTAGCCATATTAACCTAGAAAATAACTTTAAATTTTCTGTCTGTCTTAGCGCACGAATGTAACCTTCGTTCCCCGAAAAGGGAACAGAGACGCGTGTCTGGAAGACACTGCGGGAGACGACCAATCACTCTAAAGAGTAAGAAAATGGGCCAATAAATGTCAAATGAATTGGCAGAACTCAGCTCCGCAAGTGACAGCAATTAACGATTAACAGAGTATTTTTGCTGCTGTGTGCAGGGTGAGCATTAGAATTTTTGCCTGTTGAAGAGCTTCAGCTAACACATGTCTCCATTCCCTATTCGGGGAACGAGGGATATGTTCATAACCGAGACGTTACTCTTCATGGGAACTCTGACGTGTGTCTGAATAACACTGTGGGACAGTGTATGGAAAATGCCACAGCAGCTAAGCCTGTCACGCCCCTGATGTGAAGTTTGCTAAGCATAGCGTGAGCGCACTTCAGTTTCTAGTGTGAGGCTCTGAAGTGAAAATCGAATGCTTGGTCTGCATGCGCCAGCTAATTTACTCTGTTTATGATTAATCACTGGAACCTGTGGAGATTGGCATTCATTGGCCGTTTTCTTACTCTTCAGAGTGATTGGTCGTCTAGCGTCCTGCAGTGTCTTCCAAACACACGTTAGAGTTCCAATGAAGGGGAACTACAGAAAAGTCAAGCTCTAAATAAAAAAATTATTAAAATTTATTTTTTATTTGAGCAAGATGCCAATTTTCGAATCTGATTCAGTGATTCATGCTAATCTAAGATAAGCTATATGCTGTGTATATATATATATATATATATATATATATATATATATATATATATATATATATATACAGTCAGACCCAGAGATCAGCAGAATAGATTAAAAATTGGTAAAACTCATCAAAATGAATCATCTTTAGAGATTGGCTGAATAGAGTAAAAATTAGTAATGTTGATGTTCTCCCTCAGCATAAATTTGTCGAGTTGTTTGTGATCTGACTGGAGCACTTTTAACTTAGCTTGGTTTAACATGAATCACAGACTCAGATTAGACAATTAGCATCTCGTTCACATTTCAGTTTCTTTTTAATATTTATCTTGTGAAATGTATTCTCCCTATACAAACAGTACATGTGAAAGAAAATGAAAATCATGCATGCATTTAAAAGCGTTACTGATAGTTCCTCATAGATACATACACTACGGCCAATTTAGTTCATTCAGTTCAACTCTACTGCACGTCTTTAGACTGTGGGGGAAACTGGAGCACCCGAAGGAAACACAAACGAACACAGGGAGAACAAACTTAACACAGAAATGCTAACTGACCCAGCCGAGGCTCGAACCAGCGACCTTCTTGCTGTGAGGCAACAGTGCTAACCACTGAGCCACCCTATCGCCCCAGAAAATCTTATTTATACATAATTATTCTGCAAAAAAGTACATTAAAACCTTTTTTTAATCCCTGAAGCCTTGCCCATTTAGTTGTACAAGTTTGTTGGCACAATGGGTGCCAGTTGTATCTCTGCTATACATGCTAAAGTACATATCTTTTAATAATACTGCTCCAATGGCCTTAAACACAGGCCCATGGAGTCTTCCACAAACCACAGCTCTTAAAAGCAATGCCGATAAAGAGATCAAGAGGTTTAGTCTGCGAGCAGTCATAATATTATGTCTAGAGCAGTTAAGCTGTTGTAAGTGGCTACAGGACGAAGTAAAACAGATGTTAGTTTCACATTACCAGTGTCCTGTCCTTTCAGCACATGTTTTTCACACAGGTAAGTGGTGAGATCTTCCTCCTGGCTGCCTTTATACCAGTCCTCGATGACGTCTTCATACTGCTCTACCATCACATCACACTGAGGGAGGGAAACAGCTGTAATATTATTTTCTGAACATACACTGCACACAGGTTTACATACACTAAGAAGTCTCTTGTTTATTTAGGCTACATTTAATTAAGATTACACTAAAACAGTAATGGATACTGCAACTTAATTTACATTAGTTTTTTAAATGCTCCTGCAATGTCAAACCTTATTTTCTGAATGTTTACTCCAAACTTTCAAGTAGTAATTAATGTAATATGCTGATTTGATGCTCAAAAATAAAACAACATCGGACTGCTGAGTATTTTGGTGAAAACTATTTATAAAGAACATTCAGAAGTGTAAAGTGTTCTTTAATGGTCCGTTTCCACCAAGCAGTACGTTCTGGTACAGGTCACCTTTATCAGGCTTGCGTTTCCACTGCCAAAAGGGTACCAATGTACCCTTTGCAACATATACAAGCACATACAGATCCTTAAAGTCTTCGATATGTTACCAATCACAGAATAACTACACACAGCATACATTTAGTCCTTATTTGGGTTCAAAAACAACACGAAACATAGCCCACAGTCAGTGCAAACCTCTCATCTGTATCTTTAATCTTCACCAGCACATGTAACCTCTTGTTGGAAAGTAATTCCATCATACCGAGTTCATAATAGTCCAAAAGGTGATGATAACAGTTAAACATAGCAGTTTGTTCATGTTTTAGGTTGCTGAGAGATTGCTCCTTTGCTTTACCGCTTCACTCTTACGTTTGTCTGTTTCTGGGATGTGGATGTGAGCCGCACTTCAATAATCATGTGCACGTTATTATAATCAGCTCACGAAGTTCGCTATTTCAAATATAGACCTGCGAGGAGTGCACACAACACAATCTTTCTGGAGAAAGTGAAACTGTTTGAGCTTTTAGAATGCCTCATAAAACAACAAGGACACGGCAGATTTTGTTCTTCTTGACTTTGTGGCAGTTCATCAAGACGACGACAAGGTTCGTATGAAGTCGGGTCAACAAATTGCTTGTTATTATATAGTATTACGATGTAATGTCTCGGCTGTGCATTTAAAAATGTTGTTTCCATTGTTTTCATTCTCCTGGCTTGTGTATGCACTAGTAATGCTTCTCTATAAACCAATAGCGTTCAGCTACGCGTTTAGCTCCGCCTTTTGGTAGCCTTTTGTCATGGACCTAGCCCTTTGCAAAGGATACCCAAAAAGTGCTATGGTTTGCTTTTAGGTACCTTTTGACAGTGGAAATGGCATTAAAAACGTACCAAACCATACCGAACAACTCAGAGGAAACGGGCCATAATTAACTGATTTGGGTTCAGGTATTACATACACATTTGTTTAGCCCATTCTGTTTCTGTTTATAGAAGGTTATTAGCTGCCTTTCTTTTACATTTATTTTATCTATTGTGTATTGATAGAAGGTTGTATTGATAATTAATATCTGATATACAAATAGAATTATAATTCTAAATATGCATATTTATTACTTTATTTTCTTTCTGTTTATAAATAAATCATTTGTTTATAACTTTTTAATTTTTTTAGTTTCAATTATTCAGTGAAGTTCTCTTAACCATTCTTTAAAAAGTGGTATCTGAATAAGGGAGTAAAATTATAGTCGAGAGACAAACTAAAGGAATTCTGTGCTCCACCCAATAGAACTTGGGTCAGGACAAGCCTAAAAAAGCAGGGGGCTATTCATTTTACGTTTTCCCAGGATTCTTTGATAAAAACAGCGTTTAAAAGATATTATTTTTAACTTTAATTTTCTTATGGTCAATCATTACTCGACAAAAAACAAAAGAACAGTTTTTTTTTAGTTATTGCAAAAATCTATAATTTGTGGTTAAATGTCATTGTGGCACATCACCAAAATTTGATAATATGTCATTATTAAATGAAAATTTAAATCCCTACACTTTGCCATTATTAAAACTACTGTGTTTTACCCATTTGCCAGCAAGTACACTGTTAAAATATAATAATATTTAGTTTTCTTACATTTTCCTAAAAACAATCTAATAGGTACAGATCAGAATAAGTATTCATGTTTATTTCTATAGCACTTTTACAATATACATTGTTTCAACGCAGCTTATCATAGAAGATCTAGTAAATTGAAAGTGTGTCAGTCCATTTTTCAGAGTTTCAGTTCAGTGTGGTTGAAATTTTACTGCTGGAAGTCCAAACACTGAAGAGCAAATCCATCAATGTGCAGCTCCACAAGTCCCGACCAAGCAAGCCGGTGGCAAGGAACACACATCACCAATTGACAAAAGTGTATGAAAAAACCTCGAAAGAAACTAGTCTCAGTTGAGCATGTTGTTTATGTTTTCATAGTTCTAAATTTTATGCTGAATGATTACAGAACATTACTTCACCTACTGTATATTTGGTTATTTTAAACATAAATGTACTTAAAAAAATCACCTTTTTTATTTAATGTAATGCAGATACTTAAATGGGCTGTATCATCCTTGATGCATGAAGCAGCACGATTATTTTAACTTGAGTGAATCTTAAAAATAACCACATTAAGGGCAAAATGTATTTATATATTCCACTGATAACCCAGATTTCTCAGTCACTCACACTCACCTGTTTTTTGAGGTCAGCCACTTCTGCACTGGTCTCATTCCACAGCTCATAGGGAATGTCCATCACCACCTTCACACCTTTATTAACCAGGTTATGCAAGGTAGAGAACGTCTCAGACATACCCTGAGCAGAAAAAAAAAGACAAATAAGAAAATGCTTCAAAGTAAAAACACACCTCCATTTTTTTAGATGCTGTTAAATTATCTGACATCACATTTATGGCATTTTTATATGAAATTGTGTTTTTTTCTTTCTTACAATAACATTTATAGTTAAGCATAATCAGTCAAAAGATGGAAACATAATTATTTTATATTACTGTATATCTGTACTGTAACATAAATGTAAAAATTAATTTATGCACCACAGGAATAAATTACATTTTACAATAATAACTACATTTATTTTCACAGAAAACTGATTTTAAATAGAAATAATAATCTATATAATGGGGCGGCGCGGTGGCCACACAGCAGAAAGGTTACTGGTTCAAGCCTCGGCTGGGTCAGTTGGCATTTCTGTGTGAAGTTTGCATGTTCTCCCCATGTTGGCATGGGTTTTCTACGGGTGCTCTGGTTTCCTACACAAGTCCAAAGAAATGCGCTATAGGTGAATTGAGTATGCTTAATTGTCTGTAGTGTATGTGTGTGATTGAAAGTGTATGGATGTTTCCCAGTCATGGGTTGCAGCTGGAAGGGCATCCGCTGCATAAAACATATATATTGAATAAGTTGCCAGTTCATTCGCTATGGCGAACCTAAATTAATAAAGGGACTAGGCCGAAAAGGAAACTAATGAAGTTATGTTTACAATTTTGTAATCAAATACATGCCACCTTCGTGAGCAGAAGATATTTAATTCAAAAACACAAACCTATCTTAATATTTCCAAACATTTAGTTAGTAGTTTAGAACAAAAATAACCTATAAAATGTCATATTTTCCAGTGCAATTATTGAAGTTGCTGGAAAAAAAATAAAAGTGGTCCCCAACCTTTGCAAAGCGATTGCTTCCATCTCTCTCTTTGTGTAGATTGTACTGCATAATCCTTGAGCAAACGTTCTCCGTCACCTCTATAAAACGAATATCACTGGAAAGTAAAAGAGACATTGCTCAGTAAAACGCATATTATTAATGTTTGTTTGACTAACACATAGGGCTGCATCAATATTTGGTTTCAGTGTCAATATAATCATTTGCAATAGTCACATCGCGAGTATGCTCAATGTTAATTCTGGATAAGAATTCATCATTTTGCGAGTGTTTTTTTTGCGAGGCCTGTGACTGTATGAGGGTTTTAGAGCCATTCAGGAGTTAGACAACGTATCATTTGTAACTTTGAAAAATGAGTATCAATTAATTTGTATTGAATTGTTTATTAAATGAAGATTATGCAGTATTATTTTACATTTCATTATCAGAGTTGGGTTTAACACGTTACACAGTAACACGTTACTGTATTCTAATTACATTTTTGAGGAATAAGCAATATGTAATGAATTACATTTTACATTTGTGTAATTTAATTACAGTAATTAAAGTCAAGTTAGTTACGTTACAAATATAATATTTAGAAGAAAAAATGCTTCTTTTAAATCACGTTTTCTGCTGCAGCGTCAGTTAATTAGCATGCGCTTTCAAATTGCTGTAGATTGCGAGCTGAAATGGTTGCTGTCGAGAGTAGATGTTTATTCAAGTGGAAATACAGACATTACTTTGATTTCATTGAGCGTAAATAAAAAAATATTGCTGTGAATGCAGTCTATGTTCAGTCTCTAAAGAACTTTCGACCGCTTTTAACTCGACCTGCAACTTGTTCAAACATTTAAACAGAAATCATTTTAAGACAATACTCATCACCAAGAAGGACAGTTCTCTTCTAAATGCCTCCTTTTGTGTAAAAAAAAATATACAAACAGGATTGGAAAAAGTAAATGATGAGAGAATTTTAAGTTTTAGGCGAACTCTAAGTATTTTGAATAGGTCAAGCTGCTGTGATCAACCCATTGTGATGTTTTTCAGTGAATATTAAATTACTGAAAGAGCTGCAGTTTTTGTATTTTTGTAGGTATATTTTATATGTTTTAAAAGTAACTTCAAAGTAATTAGTAATCTGATTACTTTTTACATGAAGTAATTAGTAATGTAATCAATTTACAATTTTCCAGTAGTAATCAGCAATTTGTAATATATTACTTATTAAAAGTAACTTAACCAACACTGTTCATTATTCAATTGCTCTATGCCTGAATACATTTCATCTCTTCAGAAAACAATAAAACACTGTTAATTTAATTAGCATATGTTTCTTTATTGAATTTATCTATGCTTGTAGATTGTTTACTTATAGTTTATGCACTCACCACCAGAATCATCCCAATCAAAAATTCTTTCCAACAGTTATTCAATTCATCTAGTGAAACTGTATTCACATCACAATTTATAAATCACAGAATAAAAAATATAACAATGTTAAATTTCTTAAATATTGTGCAGCCCTACTTCCACATATCTATCAAGAATCCTAATTATATCACTTTGCAATAAAGCCCAAAAGATACTCACGATTTGACATATTTGATTGGCGGTGCCCCTTTATCATCCAGGAAGCGGTAGTTGGTATCAATGACTTCTTTTGTTTTTCCAGTCTCGTCAAATGCTGACTTCATCTCAATACTCACAAACTTGCACACTACAAAAATACACAGAACATATTCAGAATTAGAAAATCAAAGAGGAACAGAAAGTTGCTATGTGTCAAATCCTAGTATCATGTCTACATAGACAATACAATTAGTCTGTTTAAACACTCAAAACAGGCAGTCTATTTAGGGAGCACACTAGTTTTTGAGACACAACCAGTGAAGCCGTTAAAAAGAGGAAATCTGCTTTTGTTTTCCACAGATGCATTTATGTAAATTAAATAGTTTGAATTTTTAATGATTATTACATGTAATTAATAATTAAAATGTAATGGCAATATTTAGCATACCACAATATATTGTAACATGATATCTAAAATATATGGCGTATCAGGTACTGAAATCAGTTTAATGTTTCACAGCTTCATAAGTATACATTAAAATTATTTACTTATATCTGTTATGAAATTTAAAACAAAAGATCTTAGATTTAGATAGCTGTTATTAACATAACTTAACCTGACATTATATCAAACCCCTCACATTGAGTAAAATATGTATGCAAGATCGCTCAAGAAGTTGTCACGCACAGAAAATCCTTAATATAAGATATTATGATGGAGATTTAAGGTAAAATGTGCACCCATTACAAATAAACACAGCCTACCTTCACATTTATTTGGCAGATGCACCCATTCATCATCCCCGGTTTTACTGGCGGCTCTGGCACTTCCGAGAAACAACACGACACTGATAAAAACATTCATTTTTTGTTAGTGGTAAATATTTACAACGAGCAATACTAAAACCCCGGGCATGCTTATCAAATAGCCGCTATTTCTTCTAAAGCTTCACTTCCGCTGTGGCAGGTTGACGCAGACGCTACGAGAAGTGGACCAATCAAGAGCGCCGAAGTGGCATGAGGGAGCCAGTGATAAACGAGGGCGGGGTCGCGACGTCACGTAATCATGCATGAGATGTTTGTGTGATGCGTTGAAAGGTTTTGACAGTGAAACAAGAGAATTAAAAATTACCTGAATTCTAAAGGCAAAATTTGAAGCATCATCCCTGAATTAGGTTTTGACCAGGTGGGTCATCTTTTTTAAGATGTAATTTGAGGTGTAATAACATTTTGATATTAAGAAGTTGCCAATTAAACTTTCCTCTTTTCATAAACAGGTTCACTATGGATGCTTATTTATAACTAACTTATAAGCATATTTTTCGCTCCACATAAATTAGTGATACAGCATGAAACAACAAATGTAAAACCTTAAAAATAAATTAAAATAGAATTGATAAATAGAAATTGGTATAATAATGATATTATATTGGTGAGACAGTTATTCAAATGCACAACTTTTTAATTATTGTCTTAATTATTACAAGATGCCCATTACTGCTAAAGAGTGTTCAATAGTCTTTAATGCAATTCCTAGTGGACTTGTTCAGCTCTTATGTGGTAATATGTCCTCTGAATCCAATCTTTTACACACCAATCAGTTAAGTATCATTCATTTTCTTTTCGGCTATGAAGCGCCAACTTATTCATCACCCACCAGTTATGTATCAATAGTGTAAAAGTATAGACAATAAATTTAATAACTTTTACATTAAAAAGTTATGCAGAACCACATTGTTGCCTATACAAACCTTTTTATTTACTTATTTACTCATAAATATTTTGGAAAAATGAAAGAAAAGAAACTTGTTTATTTGATGTATTGTTTTATTCTGATAATGAGAACTTGAATTGTAAAGGACAATGTATTTTTATTTTGTTTATGTTATAAGGGGAAATGCCATACTCATGTTAACCAAACTTTTTCCATTTTGTGAATGACCAAATTATATGTAGATCTTTTAGAACAATCACAAAACAAAAAAGCACCGAAAAAATGTCAAGCTCTGAAAACATTTAATTTATTTAAATGTATATATTTTTATGTTTTCCCGTTCAGAAAACTATTTAAATATGTAATACCTCTTTTGCATTGAATTAATAAAAAATAAATAAAATAAAGCATTTTAAGGTTACGATTGACAGCAATATGTTTAAGAAAGAAAGAAAGGGTAAGCAAATGTTTTCAGAATATTGTTGAAATTTCTTGAAATGGATTATATGAGGTAAATATATAAGAAGTAAACAAAAATACAAGTAAACTAAATTATGATCTCAATCTCAAATTACTACCAAGTAAATTAAAGGGATAGTTCACCCAAACATTTCAATTCTGTCATCATTTACTCTGCCTTAATTTTTTTTTGTTCTTCTGCTGAACACATTTAAGTTATTTTGAAGAATGTTGGAAACTGAACATTAATATCCATAGTAGGAAAAGAAAAAAAACTATGGAAGTCAATTGTAGACGCTATTCTTCAAAATAAATTCCTTCGTGTTCGACAGAGCGAATAAACACACATTAATTTGGAACAAGTCAATTGTGAGTGAGTGAATGATGTCAGAATTTTATATTTTGAGGTAAACTATCCATTTAAATGTGGAGTGGTTGTGCAATAGAAGTGCTCAAACACTAGAGGGCAATACACTCCACGTCATTTATATTCAACATCGCACTCATAAATTAGCATGTCATGTTTACCAATTACTACAGTGTCAGTGTTGGCTAATCTCACCCCTGCCAAAAAAAAAAAAAAAAAAAAACACTCAGGAACGTTTGTTCTGTCATCCACAAATTACCTCACATGCAAAATCCAGCTACATTAATCCACCTTGATTAACTTCACCTACTGTATGCCCTCAGACCATACTGAATATGCCGTTAATAAAGAGAGTTATTGAAATGCATGGCAGAAATCCTTGTTTGTCTGAATTTACCTTTAAAAAAAAACGAGAGAGAGAGACACACACACACAGACACACACACACAGAGGGAACTGATTTATAGGCATCTCCTGCCATCACTGGGATTATTTGAGGAGATTGAAGGAGATTGGATGTATTTTTTGGACAGTGTGCTGTAGTTTAACCTGAGCATCAGACGTCAACACTTCCAAGGGCACATATTTTTTTTTTTTTTTTTTTTTTTGGTAACATGACTTGCATTTGCTTTGAAAAGGCAAGCTAGTATAAAACATATCATTAATGACTGATATATGATGCAATACCAAGGGAGAATATAGAGTTTATACACCTACAAAAACAAAAACAAAGAGTAAATCAATAAAGTTATGTGTGCTTTAAGTAAAAGATCATTTTAGTGTTTCATTCTTCATGCCACGGTGCATTTAAAATAAATAAGTAATAATAAAATGAAGATAATATATTAAATAAAATCCGCAATAAATTCTTATTAGGTATGAAAAGAATATCATTTGATTAGAATATAATTTGCATGTAAAATAATAAAATACAGCAATAAAAAATAAAAGCAATACAGCCCAATTCTGATGTTTACTGCTCATAATGAATAAACTTGTTATAACACTTCCTAAAAATTGCAATTATAAGTAATTGCTGCATTTATTGTTGGTTTTGCAGTGAAAAAAAAAATAATAATCATGCATTTATGTAATTCTTTAACACTTTTTAGGCTGTGATGCTCAATATTAAAGCAGCAAAGATTTTTCAGCATTGATGTTAATCTGAAATATTTCTCCAGCATCAAATCAGCACATTAGAATAATGGCTTCTAAAGGATCACAAGACAATCAAGACTGCAAGAAAAAATTAAATATATATATATATATATATATATATATATATATATATATATATATATATATATATATATATATATATATATATATAAATATATATATATACACACACACACACACACACACACACACACACACATACACTCACCGGCCACTTTATTAGGTACACCAGGTTGGACCCTCTTTTGCCTTCAGTACTGCCTTAATCCTTAGTGGCATAGATTAAACAAGGTACTGGAAATATTTTTCAGAGATTTTGGTTCATATTGACATGATAGCATCACGCAGTTGCTGCAGATTTGTCGGCTGCACATCCATGATGCTAATCTCCTGTTCCTCTACATCCCAAAGGTGCTCAATTGGATTGAGATCTGATGACTGTAAAGGCCACTTGAGTACAGTGAACTCATTGCCATGTTCTAGAAACCAGTCTGTGATGATTCGACATGGGTTGTGTTCATGACACGGCACATTATCCTGCTGAAAGTAGCCATCAGTAGCTGGGTACACTGTGGTCATAAAGGGATGGACATGGTCAGCAATACTCAGTTGGCTGTGGCATTGACAGGATTCTCAATTGGTAATAATGGGGCCAAAGTGTGCCAAGAAAATATTCTCCACACCATTATACCACCACCAGCCTGAACCGTTGATACAAAGCAGGATGGATCATTGCTTTCATGTTGTTGATGCCAAATTCTGACCCTACCATCCGAATGTTGCAGCAGAAATCTAGACTCATCAGAGCAGGCCAAATTTTAACAATCTTCTATTGTCTAACTTTGGTGATCCGGTGCCAATTGTAGCCTCAGTTTGCTGTTCTTAGCTGACAAGAGTTCCCCGGTGTGGTCTTCTGCTGGTGTTGCCCATCTGCCTCTAGGCTTGACGTGTTGTGTGTTCAGAGATGCTCTTCTGTGTACCTCGGTTGTAACAAGCGGTTATTTGAGTTACTGTTGCCTTTCTATCAGCTCAAACCAGCATGGCCATTCTCCTCTGACATCAACAAGGCATTTGCACCCGCAAAACTGCCGCTCACTCAATATTTTTTCTTTTTTAGACCACGCTCGTTAAACCCTAGAGATGGTTGTGCGTGAAAATTTAAACAGTTATATAAAAAAGTTTCATTACTTTCCAAGTAAGTGACAATTGGATACAGCTATTGTAGCACGAATCAATCCCCATATATTTCCGATAATGTTTTAAAGTATATTTTTTAAATAAAAAGGACAGAGTTGCAGCCAAGCACAACTAAAAGCAGAGCATATATCTATCATTTATATCTTGTCAAAAAAAAAAACAGTCATCAGCAACAGCAGGGTTATTTAGCTTTATTGAATCTGCATATTCGGCATTCCCTTGAGTTCAGTTTCTGGCTCTCGAAACTACTTTTTTTTAAATCTTCGTCGTAAGTTCACACATTTCCAAGGAAAAGTAGAAACTAGTAAGAATCATACAAGAGGAGCATGTATTTCATTCAAGTGTTTACATAAGCATTTACATTGCCTTGCCAAAAGTAATCAGGCCTTGACCAATTCTGTCATGTTACTGGATTACACAGTCCCACACTGCAGTTTGTGTTCTGTTATGTTGCATTTCAAAGCCCCGAATCTAATTTATTAAAACAACATTGTTTTGACATTCCGCACATTTTAATATTTCTCAAATACTGCTATTTTTGTTGGATTTGCAGCACATCCGAAAAGTATTCATAGCGCTTCACTTTTTCCACATTTTTTTTTATGTTACAGCCTTATTCCAAAATGGTTCAAATTCATTTGTTTCCTGAAAATTCTACACACAATACCCCTTAATAACAAATAAATGTTTATAAAATAAATGTTTAAAAAATGTTTTTTCTTAAATTGTTGCAAATTTATGAAAAATAAAAAACCTGAAAAATCACATGTACATCAGTATCAACAGCCTTTGCTGTGAAGCTCTAAATTGAGCTCAGCTACATTCTGTTTCCACTGATCATTCTTGAGATGTTTCAGCAGCTTAATTGGAATTCACCTGTGGTAAATCCAGTTGATTGGACTTGATATGAAAAAGTATACACCTTTCTATATAAGATCCCAGGGTTGACAGTGCATGTCAAAGCACAAACTAAGCATGAAGACAAAGGAATTGCCTGTAGATTTCCAAGACAGGATTGTCTCGAGGC